TTATCTTCTTTCATATTAGAATGTCTCTAGGGTCACTAGATTTATATTAGGAATTACAAAACCCATCACTTATCATCATTACATTTAAATTTTATATTAAGTTCTAGCAGGTAGAGGAAACTAAAAGGGTAAAAAAATTTAACAAATGTTGCAGGGGCAAATCAAAATGCTGCATGCTTCTATTAACTTTTTTAATGAAAAAGAAATCGCTGCAGCGATTTCAATTTTAAATCATTTTTTAAAAAAAACGCTGCACTCGTAGCAATATTAAAATAAAATTATCAGAACAAAATCATTCCGTCAGGAGTGATTTTGCTCTTTTGGTTAAAAAAAAATTGATATGCCCTTTCGAAGTTTTTGACAATTTTTTTGCCCTTTTATCTCCGGACTCTCTATTTCATTATGAATAAAAAAAATATTTTAAAATTAAATAAATTATTTTTTAATTATAGTAAAATGATATTCTTTTAGACGGATATTTAACACAGATTGTCACAACGCAAATTTGAAACTTAAATTTAGATATTTGGTGTTTTCTGTTTAAACACGCGTTCGTTTTTTCAATATATATATATATATATATATAGGTAGATAGATAAATTAAATTGCTGTATTAAATTTGATGTCCAATCACATAAACTGGGATTGTTTATTGATAGCAGGAACTAGTCGATAATCTTATTTTCTTCTTGCTGATGCATTGATGAGGTTGGTAGGTAAGCAATATATATCAATATATATCAAATTGCCCACGTGACTTTTTTTTTTCTTATTCATTATAACTATATAAAAGAGGAAGTCATTGTTGTGATGTCTATCATGGATAGGAATGATCTTGTCGTTTATTTTAGGCTACTTTCTAAAAATAGATATTTTATAGTCGTTCACGTTCCATATGTCTAGTGCGTTAGTTATCCAATTTATTTATAAAAGTTAATAAGTTAGTTATCCAATTTATTCATAAAAGTTAATAAGTGATTTTCTTTTTTCTAAATCTATAAACTTAAGTGTAACTAAACCATTTTTCTTTTTAATTTTATTGGACGAATTAATGATAAATTCATTATTAACTCTGCTTATTTTGATGACACTCTTAACACCAATTAAAGTTCAATCATATTCCTCGTACCACTTTTCAAATTTGGAATTGATCGCCTAAAATAAATCATATATTCCGTACAAATTTATTTTCTGCTAAAGCAAAGTATTCTTTTGGAAGAGCATGTTTTCTTGTCGCCATTATTGATAGAAAAAAATAATGCAACATGAATCACTTTAGTTTTCATTTATTAGATCTTTTAAAAAAAAAACATGCATGAGAGGTCGTTTTTAGTGCCCAACAACCCATTTAAGTGATCATGAAAGCCACCAATTAAGGGAATATTTATAGATATATCGTAAACCGAGTAATTCTTTAAAATTATTTTGACACTATTTAAGAACAAGTTGATGTTTGTGGGTTAACAATGTAAATTATTTATATATTATTATATATATTGAATTTACATTACAATAATAAGTAATTCGTCGTATTAAATATGTTAATATAAAAAATAAAGTATTAAAGGTATTAAAAAAACTGAAAATCTCTCTTTTTCTTAATTTTGATGTAACCCAAAGACTTTCTGACAAGCGTTTGTCGCAATAGACAATAAATAATGGAGAGGAGTTAAATTCGTTCCATTATTAATTCTCTCCTTTTCCCTAAGTAAACATTTGGACGAAAGTCATGTGTCATATTTAAAAGGGAAAAGGCTCAAATATGTTATCGAATTTTTAAAAAAAGTTCATTTATGTCATTCGTTAAAGTTTGACTTATTTATGTAATTATTGTTAAATAAAAAGCTCATATATGCCATTTTTGTAACTCCGATTTTGTAAAACCACTTTTTACATACCAAACAAGGTTTAGAACTTTTCTATTGGTGTTTTTGAATCAAATGTATACTTTTTGCTTTTACATCACTGCTAAGAACACATAAGAACATTAACAAATCCCAAATTTCAATTTATTTAATTTTTCACGAATCGCCTCAAAAAATTTCAAGAGTAGTTTCACTACGAGCAAGATATCAAAACTCAATTTCTTTTGAGCTCGAATTCAACATAACTCCACAAGACCCAATTGAAATTTCTTCAAAGTTTCAAAACTTCAACATTCTTTAATTGTAGATTCTCCACAACTTCAAATCATTTGAAATTTTGAACATAAACTCAAAAAATACTAGTCAACAAAGATCTAATATAAAAACTACAAAAACAAGAATCAAAGAAAAATTTGAAATTTTGGGACTAATTTTCGTTTTCTTGGAATATATTTTTTAAATATGGGTGAATTTTTTGAACTCTGCAGATGATGTCAGATTTTATTTTTTTTAAAAAAAGAATTAATGAAGTAGCCGAAATTTTAGATGATTTCGTGAAGAATTGAAGATGTTGAAAATTTGGGAGTTATTTATGTTCTTCATGTGTTCTTGATATTTTTAAAGAAAAACAAACAAAAAGTATACATTTGATCCAAAAACGCCCACGCAAAAGTATTAAACCTTGTTTGGTGTGTAAAAAATGGTTTTGCAAAATCGGAGTTAAAAAAATGGCATGAATGAACCTTTTATTTAACAACAGTGGCATAAATGAGCCAAACTTCTAACGAATGACATAAATGAGCCTTTTCTAAAAATTCGATGACATATTTGAGTTTTTTCCCTATTTAAAAACTAAAGATAGAGATTTAAGTATGACACATGACTTTCATTTATAAATTTCCACCTTTAATTTTTAAGTATGACACATGACTTTTATCAAAATGTGTACTGAGAAAAATTAAAAAAATAAGTACCAGAGGTACTTAAAAAACTTCACATTATACAACACAACCCAACCAATTTCAAAAACAAAAACAAATATTATTCCATATTTATGATTCTAAAACAACAATAACACCTCTAATCTAATTAGATAAATGAAGTCAAAGAGTAATGATGTGTACTTAAACAAATTCTTATAATGTGAAAGTGAAAAACCTTTTTCAATAGACCATGATCGACTCAAGTTTTGGGATTGTTTAGTTGTTTCTAGAGTATGCAAATTTGGTACTCCTTCTTATTAAAGAGTTGTTCCTTCTTGACTTGACATATATTTAAGAAATACTAATAGAAAAAGAAAATGTTACTGTATTATCTTTTGAATATGTTAAATTTAATACTTTAAAAATATATATATTAGATGTTGAGTGACATTTAATAGAATGGTAAAACAAGCATAAAAAGGTAAATTATCTCTTGATTTATTGAACTAGAAAAATATTATTGAATAATTATTTTTAATATGATAGACAAGTAAATATGAACAAAGAGATAATATAAAAATTTATACATCTTCGTAATTATACAGACATTAACTATCCAGAGATTAGAAATATTAATTATTCGATCTTTCTACTACTACATGAGATAATACGTAGACATTCCTTCATTACTTATAATGTATTAGTTATCAGAAAAAGAAAAACATGAACCAATCATTATATTTCCTTCGTTTTAAAAGAAATGACTATGTTTGACTTGTTATGGAATCTAAGAAAAGAATGAAGACTTTTTAATATTGTAGTTTTTAATTAAAATTATCTCAAATATATCAAAACATCTTTAATCTTATGACCTTAAACATATCACGTAAAACATTAAAGTTAAAAGATTGCATTAATTCTTTTGATTAATTTGCTAAGGTGAACAAATAAAAAGACCAGTTATATATATAGTATATCAATCAAACAAAAGGAATAAAGACAGACAGGTCATTAAAATATCCAAGTTGAAGTTTATTATAAAAGGAAAGAACTGTTATGGATATTGCTCTCTTTTAACTAGAAAAAATTTGTTAAAATACATGGCTATATAGATGATGGTTTGGTCAAATTGATTCTGGTTTTTAATTTCTATATGCTTTAAACAAATGACTCTTTAATGTTTTAAGGGCCAATTGGATCCAATTTAAATATCTTATCTTTGAGCAATAATTCTACTCAACTTATTAGTATAGTTTTACGTAGCTGTTATACTATTACACCGACACTTTATTATGATTTTAAAAAAACAACAACAAGATTTGAGCTTTCTAAATGCTAAGTACTGTGTATGTGTGGAGAAATAATATTTAGTAGGCGCTTGATCATGCGATATATGGTATCGTGAGATAGAATCAGCATTTAGATATGTAATTTCACGCTGATTTCATCTTATGATTTCAAATATGTACTCGTGATATAAAAAGATTATTATATATTCATCTTTAAATATTACTTTCTAACCTGATATAAATTGATTACAACCTGCTATTTATCGGCTAGCATGAGTAATAGTATTTTCAGATAGAGCTTTTCTGTGGGATGTTTTCAGTACTTTTAAGGCTTGAGCGAAAGCTTTTCAACTTATATATACATTATAATATATCCTTTCCCTCCAAAAAAAGAAAAAAAAAAGGAAAGCTTTTCAACTGGTTAATATAGCATCCTTATTTGCCAAACAATTAATGAAATAGTAGTATTGATATACATGTAAAGGATTGAATTCTAAACAATATAACGATATTCTTAGTTCAAGCTATTTATATTTTACTAAGTCTTCGTTGTCGATCATTTCCGTATCAATCTACCCACACATCTAAGACCGTTTGCACTCTACTTCATTATATTTAACTGCTAATATACCTATCGATGAGTTAAATTGAAATGTTATGTCTTTGACCTTATAACAAATTCAATCGTACTATATTTTTGCTGGTTGAGCATAATTAATAATTTAAATAAAAAACTACCTACACTAGCATATGGATTAACCATACCTACTTCGCCATGAAAAGAAACATTGATAATATAATATAATACCTGAATCTTTCCAGACCACCTAATAAAGTAAATTAAAGTAGCTTTATTAAATAATAGTGTTTTAATTTATATATGGAACATTATTGGTGTTTTTTGAGTCTATATAATAAGACGAGAAATGAGAAGATCCATAGCAAACTGAAGTCTCACTCCATATTTTCACAAGGTCATGGCTACTTCCTCTCAACCATTGTTAGATTCTCCCAAAACAAAATCTTCCTCTTCTACTAAAGCTCTCTATGTGCTTCTCTCCTTAGCTGCTATTGTGGGCTCAGTTGGATTCATTTCAATCTGGGCCATCAATCGTACATCAATTTCCTTGACAACTCGTGTTTGTGATACGGCCCATGATCAGCCATCTTGCTTAGCCATGCTGTCTGAGGTTGCACCTGCTGGTCTGATGGATACAAAAACAGTTGATTTGCTACAGATGGTTTTGCATAAATCATCGTTAAAAATCCACGAGACGATCCATTTGGCGAGCAATGTGAATGGTCGGATCAATAATGGCCAGGAACAAGTAGCTCTAGAAGATTGTTTAGAGTTGATGGATTTGTCAAGGGATAGATTAATGGACTCCATGGTGGGACTTGGGAACCTAACGGTCCAAGCCCATTTTGATGTTCATTCATGGCTAAGTAGCATTCTCACCAACCATGTTACTTGCATAGATGGCCTAAATGGCCAGGTCCGGTCTATTATGGAGCCTATGTTGAATGATTTGGTAGCAAGAGCAAGGACTTCCTTGGCCTTGATGGTTGCAATTGCACCACAAAAGAATATTGTACCAACAGTTAGTGATGGATTGCCCTCATGGGTTAGTGCTAATGATAGAAGACTTTTGCAACTTTCAGCAAATGCAATAGCAGCCAATGTTGTAGTGGCTAAAGATGGCAGTGGAAAATACAAAACCGTAAAAGAAGCAGTTGCTTCTGCTCCAGATAATAGTAAGACTCGATATGTTATTTATGTCAAAAAAGGAACTTATAAAGAAAATGTTGAGATTGGGAAAAAGAAGAAGAATATAATGCTTGTGGGTGATGGCATGGATGCAACTATTATCACTGGAAACTTGAATGTTATTGATGGCTCAACAACTTTCAAATCTGCAACTGTTGGTAAATATCTCATTTCTCACTATACTCTTTTGACTTATCTTTTTTGGTCTGACAAAGAGGCTTGGATTTTGACATGAAGATGTGTTTTGAAAAATTGATGAAGTTGTTTACTTTGTTAAATGCAGCTGCTGTTGGGGATGGATTCATAGCCCAAGATATACAATTCCAAAACACAGCAGGGCCACAAAAGCACCAAGCAGTGGCCCTTCGTGTTGGAGCAGATCAGTCCGTTATCAACCGTTGCAAAATGGATGCATTCCAGGACACTCTCTATACCCACACTCTCCGTCAATTCTACAGAGATTGTTACATCATTGGCACTGTCGATTTTATCTTTGGTAACGCAGCAGTTGTGTTCCAAAACTCTAAACTGGCAGCGCGAAAGCCCATGAGCGGACAGAAAAACATGGTTACAGCACAAGGTCGCGAAGATCCAAACCAAAATACAGGAACTTCAATCCAGAATTGTGACATTATTCCTAGCTCGGACCTTGCACCAGTAAAAGGGTCCGTGAAGACATATTTGGGCAGACCATGGAAAGCGTACTCGAGGACAGTGTACATGCAGTCCAACATTGGAGACCATATTGATCCAGCAGGTTGGTCAGAATGGGACGGTGATTTTGCATTGAAAACATGTATTATGGTGAGTACATGAACAAGGAGCTGGTGCTGGATAGTAAGAGAGTTAACTGGCCTGGTTATCATAAAGCTTTAACAACATCCGAGGCCACAAAGTTCACTGTGGGTCAGCTGATTCAAGGAGCAGCATGGTTAAAATCTACTGGTGTCGCTTACACTGATGGGTTGTGAGGAACTTGTTTAATTCAAATATGTGTGCCATGTATTGCTAGTGAAGTTTTAGTATGTTTTGGTTGCTTTCTGTTTGCTTGTTCTGTGATGATAATAATAATATGCTGCTTAGTTGTGGCTCTGATGACTGAACCATGCCACAATAAGAAATTATAAATTAAATTATTTAGAATAGATGCTACTGGTGATTGCATATTGAATTAATGTTACCCAGAATTACAAAGCAATTAGCAAATCAAATAATGTGATGCTCCTATTTCCTTCGCTAAGGCAAGACCACATTCAAATCAACTTACATCACCAATAATTTTCTCTCTTCCAATTTCCACTCACATAAACACTGTTTTTTCATCGCTTGATCAACATCAATGCTAGCTAAACTAGCCATAGTTGAGGCGAAATATGTCATTCTGCACAAAGAAGCTTCCTTCCACAGTTGGGATCAAGTGAAACATCTGTGATAATGCAATTACAAAAAATACCGTTTAGACTTACTTCTACAAGTAATTCATCTTTAAGATGGTCCAGACACCACCATTATCAAAAGAATAATGAAAACAATGCAGTTGGACTACGTCAGCCCAAAGACACTCTTAGCATTGTGTCATACTGATCATTTTGAGCAAAGCCTGCACCAATTTTCTCTAAAAGACCTCATAACATTGATTTTGTACTAACTTTGTTTTGTTCTCAACTTCCAATGTGTGACTTTGTTCGAACACAACAACAAATATAAAAGCATTCAATTAAACAACATAAATGGAGGAAAGAACAAATCGATACCTGACTAAACCTCAGTGGATGGTCCTCTCCAAGAAGTTGAATGCTACCACTGACAAAGACTATGATCCCTCCAGCAAAGGACGAAGGTTGAGAATCAATGGTGCTAATCACATGGCGGCATTGTCCAAAAGGCAAGGCATTAAGCTTAGCAGAGATATCTTCACTTCCGAGCAACTTTTGCCCCTCAAATGAGAACATGGAGCTTGGTTGATACAGAGCACCAACTGATGATCGATCATTGTCAAAAAGATTGTAGTAGTGATCCACAAATGCCCTTCCTACTATTTCTGTTTGTTCTTCCATGTCTGCCCCCTTTCAAAATTTTCAACACACTTCCAATCGATGTCTTAAATAGTATTTCAAGCACAAAGGGGGCAAGGCTTGAGAGAATAGAATATAAGAAAGTAAATGGTTTGGCTATCAAGGAAAGAATATATATAGGAAAAAGAAAAATGTAAAAAAGGGCATCTAGGCTGCTGCATGGATACGCAAGTTCATGAAAAGACTTAAAAATTTCAAATTCATATGTACCTTTATAACTCAATGAAGGAAAGGAAAGAAGGGGCTGTTAAACAAAAAAGCTCAGCAAGATCTGCTGAAGCAAACCGACCAGCGGCCAACAATTCTTTTTTTATTGATCTTTAATGTTTTTTAGACTGCACATAGTGTTTTCAAGATTCAACGTATGTAAGAAAATAATATGTAACTGAAGGAAGGGGAAGGAATATATTCTTTGCAGAACAAGTGACCAACTTTATATCTAAAAAGTGAAAAACAATTGTCACCCACTTCCACTTTTATGCAACAAAAAGAAAAAAACACAAGGTGGACTTAAAGTGCTTAATTAGCATAGGCAAGACCAAACTTAACAATATAACATTGCATCTCTCTCTTAATGGTAGAGCAGTTCTTAAGCAACGCTTCTCCAAAAATAAGCATCAAAATACCTTATATTTCCGTGTTCAAGAAAAACAACTACTCCATTAAACTTAGTTTTTCCTTCTCTGTTTCTATGAAATCCTTTTTTGTCAAATAGCCACATGGAAAACTCTCTCTGCAACAATAGCATAATTATTGTGGCTAAGTATAAAAGAATACTGATAATCTTATATGATCAGCGAGATTCCATAACCGCTAAGTAAAAGACTGTTTAAATGAAGGTAAGATGGTGATTTTTGAAACGACATAATGTTCATCCGTTCCCTCGCATTTTAAGATGAACTATCAGTAAGCTATTGTATCCGGTGGTGGCAAGAGGTCACTAGTGGACAGTTTTTTCGACAGGACTATAGCTAGTTAATTGCATGATCACACTCTAATGGATTCGTTTAATCGGATTGTTATTTTCAATCCATAAATAGGAAACTTCATGGTTACAAGACAATGAAATAACTTAAATCTTCCTTCAGAGGTTTTTCAAGGACATAACTTCTTTTTTTGAAAAGGAAAAGAAGAAAAGACATGAATTTAGGATGAGTTATAATTGGGATTTCATCATATGTTTCCTCCATCAAACATGTATTAATAGAACATGGTACAGTTACATATATTTGCACCATCAAGATAATCAACCATGCGATAGAAAAACAAGCAAGCAAGAGGAATCCATTCTTTTCCACTTGTTTTATTTTCAACTGCACCATGAAAACTGTCCATCACCAATTTCTCCCCCTTCTCGACTCTTCACTCACCCAATAAAACCATCTATCATTACTGATAAACACAAGAAAACAAGCATTCCTCTGCGTAAAATCCATAACCAGAAAGAAAAATTGTCACAAAACTTCCACAGGTTGTATAGCTTGAAATGAGATAATACAAAAGGACAACATCAAAGTGCGAACCTTTTTCATCTTTTCCTTCTTCACTAGTAATTAACTCCTTTAATGAAAGATCATTGTGTTCACTGAAAATACACAGCTGCAAAGTTACCTAGGTAATTTCTTTTAGTATCCGTTTAGACCATATCCAAGTGTCTTCAACAAAGGAAAACTACTTCCTTTACAAACATGAAAAGGAAGATGTTTTCCTGCAGATAGCAACACAAATTCAATAACAAAAGCATGGGGTAAACAGCTGGAATACATAGTTGGGAGCCCAACTCCTCCTTTTTTTTTTCTTTTTTTTGTATTTCTAGCCAAAACCTTAACCTTTTCCTGTCCTATTAATGCCCCCAACCATGAAAACCTTCAATAGCCGCAGCATTACTTGTATTGGTGGTTGGAAGGTAAAAATTTCTTTATCAGTGCTAATGTCTGTTAAAAAAACAATTAGAATTTATGGAGGACCTCGAATTTGTGCCCTGATGATGTAGGATGACAGTTTACACATTAGACAATTAGATAGAAGCTAACAAATGGTGACTACAGAAATGCCACAAGATTAATGATCATGTAAGTAACTAATAAAGACAGTAAAGTTTGAGAGATATAAAGTGAAGAATTATTGGTAAGAAAATTTCAACTGGCAAACAAATGCTTCACTACAAGATAAAAGCTCGATAAATCTAAAATGTAACATCTGAAACTTTTCATTCAACTACTTTTGATGAATAAGGATCACTCAATTGTAGTATAACAGACAAACTACATTGCTATCACATCCAACCTGAAGGCCAATAAGCATGAACACCATAGCCAGTCTTCCAATTATTTAAGTAAATCACCCTCTTTACCGCCCAAAATGAAACGAAAAGCCCCAAAGCCATGAGCAAACTCTGTGTTCCCCTGTTCTTCAGATGAAGCAAAACATGAGTCATTAGTGCCAACAACAATCCAACAATCGTGTACAAGAATCCAACAGCAAAACCTTCAGCTCCTAACTGCATCCCTGATCCTTGGTAAAAGATATGATACTTCCCTGGATCATTTCTATCAATCAAAAACAGAGGTGCTTTTCTAATTATAGTATACATTGTCCCTGAAACACTGAAGAAATACAGTAGAATCGACGCAACCATCCATATATACTTATTCTGCAAATGGGTGTTTCCAATAACAAACTTTTTCACCAAAAATGGACTCCAAATCAAAAACCCAGCACCAATAATCATCATCATTTTCTTCGGAATAAAAGGGGGCGCATGAATTGGACCCAAATTAACATCGGCATTCATCTCCACAAACTCCTTCATCGAGTCAGCTCCCATAGAATAACCAGAAGCATCCATTTTAATACAATCCGTTTTAACATCGGTCACATAAATGGGTATTAATCGAATGTGGGGTAAAGCTTGAACATCAAAAAGCTCGAAGGAAGACTTTGATTCTTGAAATTCTATGATGAAGAAGAAAATCTGAGTGTTGTTTTGGGGGTTGTTGGTGAGGAAAGAAGAGGAGAGAAGGGAGAATTCATATTTGATACTAGGGATTGAGTTATCGGGTTTAGAGTGGAGTTGCCTTGCGTCAAAGAATATGAGGGATGAGAATGGTTTAGGGGAAGGAATTGAGAGGATGCGTTGGAGAAGGGGGTCTTTGAGGTGGATCAGACCGAGGGGAGATTTTGATCGGAGATGTATCAGCTCAGAGAGTACGTCATCGGAAGAATTGGAATGGGTAGTGATGGGTGAGAGGAGAAAGAGGATAGTAATGAGTAGAAAAGAAGATTGAATTGTAGAGATCGCCATTGTCGATTTCCAGGTTTCATGCATGCATGAAGCACAAATATCAAAAAGGTATTTCTTGTGTGGGATTTGCAAGGGCAAGAAATGGATGGGCCGATGGGCATGTGATTTAATAATTATTTTCGAAAAATAATGATTATATTTAATAATAAGAGTAAATTAGAAATTAAGTGTTTCTAAAGTGAATAAGTATGAATTTAATAAAGACTTTTTAGTAAAATATTTTTATTGAAAATTTATCTATATTAATTAAAAAGGGGATTAAGATTTCTTGGTAATTTAGAAACATTATTTAAAGCTTGATTAAGGTATAAAAAGTGATTACAGCATTTGTGAATATCATCCTTGAGACTTGAGTGGGACTAGAGATTTGTTAATGAAGTAACTGGTCATTGGTAATAAATAAGAAAAGATGATTGTGGAAGTGTTTTGAGTTGAACAAAACAAAAGCATACAAAATTACAGTTTATTTATCTTGTTGGCCCTCTTGCAGAATCTTCAAAAACATATTACTAGTATTTTTGTTTTATCAGTCCAGTAAGTATAGCCTTTCTCTTCCTTACTTAGGTCTTTTCTGTTGTAGCACCATTTGCTGATCTTTGTATGACCAATTGCAAACCACAGAGATCTAATGTGTTCCAGTAATGACACACCACCATCTGAAAACAGAGACATCACATAATGGGTGACGTGAATCCCAGAAAGATATTGTGATTATGTATTCGCAAGGTACCAATTTTGCAGCCTAAGGTAGCAGTTAGAATGCAGCAATTAGTCACTTCATCGACTTAATACAACTTTTCTCATTGTATGCTGTTTAAATTGTGCATAGAGAGAAAAAATTGTATGGCTACCGAAAGCAAGCATCACCAAGATCTACTCTCAGGTGAGCAACCATGCTGTACGGTATGTATTGCAAGTGAAGAGAGAGAATATAAATGAGGCCAAAATGTATTATTTAGCCAAACCCAGAAATCAAACGTTTATACGCTTTTTTGTCAGGTTTAAACCCCAATTTCAACATATCATCATGCAGTCTCATTGCTTTTCTAAACTCCTCTTCCTGACATAGCCCTCTGATCATGATTGAAAAACTTCCGCTGCTTAACATATCATGTGTTCTCATGTAATCGAAGATCTTTAGAGCTTCTTCATGCCGTCTTGATTTAAACAGTCTGTCAAGTAGTAAACCATAGGTCTCTACATCTAAAGCAACACCAAGTCTCTCTAGTTCAGTATGTAAAGAAATGGCAGAATCAATCCTTCTGCTAAAGCAATAGTGCCGCACCAAAGAGCAGCAACAAAAAGATTCAAACTGAAGTCCTTTTTGAAAAATTACATTCAGAAGCTCCTCAGCTTCTTTCCACTGATGCTTTTCACATTGAGAAACTATAAATTTAGATACTTGAGATACGGGAGGTACAAATCCTCTTCCTATCAAGTCTTTCAACAAACTGCTAACTTCCACTGATGGAATTTCATTGCATAGGACACTCATAAAGGCACTATAGCATTTGCCATTGATGAATATTTTTCTCTCGACTATAATGTTGTACATCCAAATAGCATCTTCAGCTTTACCTTCCTTGGAGAATGCCCTTAGCATAGAGCCATAAGTTTTGTCTTGTAGCTTAATGCTTTTTTCATAAGCTTCCCTGAAAAACAATTCAGCTGCATATGCTTTTCCAATACCAGAGAACTTTTGAATCACAGAATCATAGTCAGGTGTCACAACTTTCGGGAGATGTCCTTTTTCCACCATGGAACTCATCACTGATTCAATCACTTGGGCATTTTGATATTTGCAAGCACCATCAAGAATTGAGCTAAAAGTACTAAAGGTTGGATCAATGCGTTCACTATACATATCATTTAAATAACCAAACGCAGCATCAAACTTCCCTCTCTCAGAGTAACAGTCTATGAGTATGTTGTAAATAAGAGGACTACATACCCCCTTGTCTAGAATAGCAACAATTTTCTCAAATTTCCCATCTTTACAAAGCATCTGAGCAATTAAAGACCATGTAACCACATTCTCCTGAACCCCATTACGAATAATAGAACCATAATAACACCAACCCAGTCTTAAATCATTCTTACTGAGCAGTAAATTAAGCAATGTATTACAACAATTAACAGACACAAAATAGCCATATTCTCTAACTATTTGATAAACCTGAAGAGCTTCCAAGAACAAACCTTTATTGCAATAACATTCAAGAACTGAGCTCAAGACTGAAGACTGAATGTGAATTTCACCAGCTTTCAATGACTGAATCAAGAAACCTACAATTTGGGCTGGTGGGTATGTTTGAATGAGAGTATCCAAGATGGGTTTTGCGGGTCTGGATAGTCCGGACCCGAGAAGTATATACACAAGTGTACAAAGAACTTTGGCATCAGGTTGGAACCCAAGATTGTTCTTGGCATAGTGGAAGAAGCGTAGAGAGACTTGTGGGTTGTCTTGGGTGTTGTGGAGGATTTGTAGGAAGAGAGATGGAGTAAACTGTGAAGAACAAAGTTTGAGGTTCTTGAGAAGTAAAGGCCATTGATTTGTTTGTCTTTGCAAGAGAATAGAGGAAATTTGGGAAACTAATTGGGTTTGTTTGAATTGGGTTCTCCAGTCTTGGGACTTTTGTGTTGTTGTTACAGTGCTTGCTTTTGCGATTGATTTCTGGAAGAGAAAGAGAGCTCTAGAGGCAATGGTCATTTGAGTTATGGTGCAAGAGAATCAGTTTCAATTGGGAAGAGAGTTCCACAGAAATTTCCCTACATTTTTTCTAAAAGGGCCAAATTTGTAATAGGTGGCTAGTTTTTAAAAGCTTGTCAACAAGCCCAATTATAAGGGTCAAATTCGTTAGCTAGGGGCGTAAATCCTATTGTAAGGGTAACGAGACTTGAATCCTGCATCATTTTGGAAAGTTGATTTGGGGCTTATATTATTGGGTTCCGACCTGATGTCAAAATATCTTTATGTCTAACGATTCATATTGTGGATGGAAGACAATATCGTACTCCTTTCATCCGGTATTGTTTGTCATGATTTTTATTTTTTAGAGCTAAATTATAAATGAATTGACTAATATTTTAAAACGTATTTTTCATCATATTAATATGCAAAAATTGTCATTTATAGTATTTTTTATATAGTTTTAGAATATTTAATTTTTTTTTGTTTAATATATCAAATCAATGTGATTCAATTTACCTTTGAAAATTAGTCAAATTGACTTTTGATAAACGCAACATGACAAACAATTTCGGACGGAGGTGGTAACAAATCTTATAGTTTAAGAATATCTTAACTTAATATCGAGGATATTTTTTAATAAAAAATTAAAATTGAGCTATTTAGAATTGAACGGTGAACAAATGATATTTTTGTACCAATTCAAATAATTAACAAATATTTTAGAATCTTCTCCATTCGGACTTTAATACATTAGTTTTTGAGGTATGATTCTTTTTTAATTATATCATGGACGAGAGCCGAGACATCATATTTGTAATTAGAATTTCAAGAAAGCACCAAAAGATAAAGAAGGGGACAGTTTTAGCAGGTGAGTCATTTACTTGTCCATTTTAAATTTTCTAAACTCTTTAAGATATAATAATTAATGATACAAGTATTTTATCACAATATTCATGTTAATTGATGTTCAGTCTTAGCCCTTAAGTCTTGTAAATAATCTGGTAAATAAATATTAAAGAATGACAAAATTCTCATATCGGTGATTAATAAAATGGAAAGACTCCTTTATAAGGCTTGAACAATATTTCTCCTTTTGAGCTAGATTTTAGGGTGTGAGTTAGAAATGTGACCTAATTTAACAGCAAATAATAAATATTAAAAAGATAAAACATGAAAAATTCAGTTAATATATTAAAAAGTGATAAATAAAAACAAAAACATATATATAATGTAATACATACATAAATTAAAGTGAGCCGAAGGAGCTGTTATTTTTCTTTTTCCTTAAATGACTTGCTAAATTCCAGCAATAATTATTATTTGATTTGTAGATGCTCGATAAGATTCAGTCACGGGGCAAATGCAACCAAAAATCAATACTGTACTATTTTTTAAAAAAGATTTAGATCACCATTGTGGTGGGGGTCAAGATATGCAACCAAAAATCAATACTTTATATTAATTAGACCACTATTTTCGTGAGGTTTATTAGGCCTTTACCCCTTAATGTGTATAATCAGCATCCAGAAAAGTGAAAATAGAGAGAGGGGGACATACATTGTCTTACTCTCCAATGTAACTTGTAAGTTTCATATTTATCATTAGTGGTGGATTTTTTATTTTCACAGAAATATAATGTTTAAATTGAAACTTATAATTCAAAAATGAATTTTGACTTGTGCTTATAATTTAAAAATGAATTTTGAATCCCCTGGTTGACTAAACTTAGTTTATTATTATTGAGATCCACTTGAGTAATGTCAAGTGTTGATGTCCTAATTTACCATTCCCCGTGTTCTTATTTTACGTCCTTGTTAAAAATAAATGTTTTTTAGTGCTTGTTATTTTATAAAATCAATTTAATAAATGCATTAGTTTTAATATTTTATTTTTGATAATTATTAGTCTTGAAATTATGAATTTGACAAATATAAAAAAATCAAATCTTTAATTTATATTTACCGATTAATTAAATTAATCAAGTAAACTAATTTATGTTAATATATTGAAAATTTGACTTCAAAAAAACTAAATAAGTGTACAGTGATAATTTATTTAAATATAAATAGGAACTAAGGAAATAGTATCAAACTTTATTGTTTGGAGTCGTTTGATACAGTGCATAAAAATAATGTTAAATAGAGTGTATTGGCAATACTTGCATTAGTAATGCTTGCAATAGTTGTACATAGAGTATTTCTTATGCATTGTTTAATTTGGCATATTAAAAATAACACCTACTGTACAAATATAATTATTTACAAAAATATCATCCACACATATGGTGAAAAAAATGTAAAAGCGTTTTCGAGTGGTATTTGTCGTTAAAATGCTAATGCATGCATTAAATCTCATCACATTACTACACCTAAAAATCCATAATATTAGTAATACATTCTCAAATATACAATAGAGTGTATAACTAATGCTTTATACATAGTGTTGGTGTCATATACCACATATATAAAATATAATAGTTGAAATAAAATGAACAAAAATGAATATATTAATCTTTAGGCTAAGGCACAGATATATCGCTCTCTTTAAGGAGATTCAAGCCCACTGCGGCATAATCTACACCAATTCTGCAGTATAACTCTTGACTTGTCCCCTTCAGAATACAACAGCCCAACAACAGTGTATAACTCAAACAACTCTGGATTAGTTGAAGATTCCAAAGCTCCACAAAAGAACATCTTCCTTCAACATATAATAGTCTCTTTTCGTATAGTGAATATAGTTGAAGACTTGGAATATTTTCTATGTCTCAACTCTTTCTTTCACTAAACTAATCTTAATATAATACAACTCATCTTTTTTACTCTATATTTTCTTGTACTTCTCTTGTTTCTTCTCATCTGTTTCGACACAAATGAAAACTACACTATTTATAGGTGAAGAATTCTTCCTTCCAATGAATAGGAGATAGTGGATAGTAAATTTGTCAAATGAATGGCTCAAATGTTACGTAAGTTATAAGATATAAGTATAGAATCATAAATGAAATGAAGAGTTGGTGGTTACATAAATTACTAAAAACTAATGATCATTTTCTTTCACAATTGATGAGAGTATAGAGGCACAAATGTAATGTCCACCAATTGACATAACATGATATACAATGTGGCATAAAATATATATTTTTTATTAATATTAAAATGTCACACCAACACGTAGCATAAGAAAATATATTCCTTTTGTTTCAAAAAAGATGACCTAGTTTAACTTTGAACGGAAATTAAAAAAAGAAATAAAAAGCTTTTTGATCTTGTAGTTCTAAATTAAAGTTATGTCAAATGTACCAAAATGTCCTTTAATCTTGAGATTTTAAAATAATACGTGGAAAGTTAAAGTTAAAGTATTATCAAAAAAAAAGTGGTCATCATTTTTTAAATAAACTAAAAAGGAAATAGAAATATCCTTTTTGAAACGTTATGAGTACTAAACAAAATTTCACTCATAAACAAAATTAACACAAGCATTATTTTATTAATACACTCTACTAAACGACCTTTAATACTTCTTTCATTGATTTAAGGTTTGTGAGCCATTCTTCTGAAACCTTACCAAACGACCTTTAATACTTCTTTCCTTAATTTAAGGTTTGTGAGCCATTCTTCTGAAATTGTTTTCTTCCTACTTTTCCGTCTTTGGGGTTTGTGTAATAGCGGAACAAATCCCTACGAAATGTCCCGTTACAAAATTTGAACTTTCCCTTGATTCGAAGAAGCATCTCAAGTTAATTATAATAAGGAAATAATTAAGGATAATTTTAAATGGCTAGAATTTAGTTTAAAATTTTAAAAATTATATTTCTTATTTTATTTTAAAATAAATTGATTTTTTATTTTTTAGTTAAGATATATTAAAATTAAAGAGATAAAAATATTTCAAAAAGTAAAATAATATAGGTAAAATATTATTCTGACTAACATAATTTTTTATTAATTAATTACGTAGCATGAGGTTGAAATGTTTAAGATGTAATTAATATCTAGGCAAAGATGTGGAAAATATTTGATAATGAAATTACTTATATGTGTTCTCTTCGATGATGAAAAAAAATTTAATGTGTTACTAGTATGATTTTTATGAAAATTTATGTCTTTATTGTTAAATAATAATTGAAACATCTACTATTTTGGAGGATCGTTTGACTTAATGTCTTTGAAGAAAAACGAAATCTTCCTCATATAAATAAGTTGATCTACGGAATTATTAGAAATACAAGATACTATCATCCTAAAAAATTAAATAACGTGTTTCAATTAACAAGCAAAAATGGCTAAGATAATTAAAACATCTACTATTTTGAAGGAACGTTTGACTTAATGTCTTTGAAAAAAAACGAACTCTTCCTCGTATAAACAAGTTGATATACAAAATTATTAGAAATACAAAATACTACCGTCTTAAAATATTGAAAAATGTGTTTCAATCAACAAGCAAAAATGGCTAAGCTCTTCTTCCCAAATTTGAACTCACTGATTTGGTTTTAATAGTATTATGCAACATAAAGCCTATATCTGTAATATTGAGATTCACAACATGTAAAGTCAATGATTACTTAAAAATTAACATATTTTATTAGCGCCTTAATTTAAGGTTATTTTGCCCCATTAATCTACCTGATGTTTTTTCTTCCTTTGTGAAAGTAAAGGTATTCCATGTCATATTCTCTTTTAATCCAGGGAAAAGGGTTAAATATATCCCTAAACTATTTGAAAAAGTTTAGATATACCCTCCGTTTAAAGTTTGGTTTACTCATGCCTTCGCTGTCCAACTTTTAGTCCAAATATGCCCTTATGGGCGTTAGTTGTCATTTTGGACATATCCAACTTATTTTTAATTTCTTTAAATGTCATGTGGAATTGTCATGTCATTTTAACCTTCCCACATAACATTTATATGAAAATGGAAAGATGTTCGGACTCATAAACACCTAATTCGACCCATAAATCAGCTCATTTTAAATTCACTATCCGATCCATTTTTAACAATTTTTGTTTAACTTTTAT